TTCCAAAATTAGTTTCCCAGGGGATCTTATTAACAACTTCCCTGAATAGCCTGAAATCTACTCTCCCTATATCCAGCACTGAGGTTTTGGTGGCAGTTTTCCTCCTATCACTTACTTTAAATACAACCACTTCATGGCCACTATGGCCAAGATGGCCACCAATCGGTCTTTCACTAAATGGTGTTTAAGGTACCTTCTAATCTAAGTCATTCTAAGTCTGTACTATTTTTTCCCTCATAATATTAGGCTTTATAATTTAAATGACAGCTATAATGGAAACTCAATGAAAAGAATCCCAAAAATCAACAGCTTCAGAAATAAGCAGATGAAACATCATCTAATAAAAACGACTGTACTTATATTACCATGCAGTTTAATTCCAGCTAAGAATTAATGCACAATCTTTGCCTAATTATGTACTAATTTGTCAACATTTTCTTCAGCATAAGCTTTCTTACCTTTCTAAAACGTTACTTAAATAAGCTTTCTACCTGATCTGCTTCTTTACACACAAGACCATTACTCAAAATGAAATAGTAGTATTGAACTAGTTAATTTTTTAATCATGATTTTTTACAGCAGCAGAAATATTATTAAACTGAAGTCACTGTCGCAATAAAAATTGCAGAGATGTTCCCTAAACAAAAATGGGGAACAGAAACAAAAGATTTCAAACAAAAACATTTTCAGTCCGTTCAAAAAAAAACTATGGATTTATTAAGTTAAAAGAATAGAAGTTAGTTGCCAAAAGAAAGCATATTTCAAAAAGAAAGATCACACTATATCAAGTACATTGTGCTGTGAAAAAAAAAAAAAAAGAGCCTGCTTGATTTCCAGAAACTGTTGACGATGGGAAAAAATGTGCATAACCACAACTGGAGTTTTCCAACTGCAATGCTGTACTCAAAACTGTGTGGTAAATTAAAGAAATAGGAGAGGAAAAATATGATCCAGTTCTTAGTGAATCATCAAAAACTGCTGTCTGCCACTAGACCAAAGATCGTAAGTCTTATCAGCTAAACAATCTATCCAAATAATTAAGTTCCCACTTAGAAGGCTAGAACTCAAGCACTATTTTCTCTTCTCGAACCAAGTGTTCCTTTTATGATTTGTAAGTTAGAGAATGCCACTTACTAACAGAATTATTAAGACAAAACAGATAATCTGCATCGAAAAACAGAATATGGATAATAAAAACTGAGAGATTCTTTTAATCTAAAGTATCATATTAAAGCTCAAGTGAACCACTACGTACTACATTAACCTTATTAACACCTTTCTGATTTTCCTGTTCACATGACAGATTTGAAATGTATTATAAAGACTTTCAGTATACATTGTGAATCTACTAGAATTACTTTTATGTTTGCATACACATTTTCCAGGTATTTATAAAGAAACCTGCAATAATAAAAACTCATCTCCCAAAAACCTGCTTATATCCTTGTCACTCCCTATGACATCTGAAAAGCTGTGGCAATCAGGTGAAACCCCTGGTGACTGGAAAAAAAGGTAACACCATACCCATTTTTAAAAAGAGCAAAAAAGATGACCCCTAGAACTGCCAACCTATCAGTCTCATCTCTGTGCCAGGGATGATAACGGAGCAGATCCTTCTGGAAGCTATGCTAAGGCACATGGAAGGCAGGGACATGATACAGAAGAACTAGTATGTCTTCACCAAGGGCAAATCCCCCTCAACCAATCTAGTCACCTTCTATGATGGTGTCACTCAATCAATGGACAAGGGAAGAGCTACTGATATCATCTATCTGGATTTCAATAAGGCTTTTGACACAGTATCCTTCTCTCCAAACTGGAAAGAAATGGATTTGATAAGCAGACTGTTCAATAGACAAAGAGCTGGCTGCAGGATTGAGTCCAGAGAGTGGTGGTCAGTGGCTTAATATCTGGATAGAGAACAGTGATGAGCGGTGTCCTCTATGGATCAGTGCTGGAGCCGAAATTCTTATAATCATCAATGACATTGACTGCAAGTTTGCTGATAACACACCAAGCTGTGGAGTGCAGTTGACACACCAGAGGGATGGGATGCCATTCAGAGGGACCTAGAAGGCTTGAGCAGTGGGCCCAGGTGAACCTCATGAAGTTCAACAAATCTAAGTGCAAGGTCTTGCACCTGGGTCAATGCAACCCTCACTACCAACACAAACTGGGGGGATATAAAGACTGAGCTCAGCCCTGCCGAAAAAAGACTTGGGGATACTGGTGAATGGGAAGCCAGGCATGAGCCAGCAATGTGCCCTTGCATCCTGGACTGCCTTCAAAAAAAGATAGGCCAGTAAGGCAAGGGAGGTGTTCCAGCTGCTCTACTATTCAGTGGTCAGGCCCCACCAGGAGTACCGCATCCAGATGTGGAGTCCTCAGTACAGGAGAGACATGGACCTATTGGAGCACATTAAAATGATGCGTAGAATGGAACAGCTCTCCTACGAGGACAAGCTGAGCGAGCTGTGGCTGTACAGCCTGGAGAAGAGAAATCTGAAAGAAGACCTGATAGCAGCCTTTCAGTATCTAAAGGGAAAAATACAGGAAAGAAGGAACAGACTCCTTGGCAGGGTCTGTGGCAATAGAACAGGGGGAACTGGCTTCAAGCTCAAAGAAGGTAGATTTAAGTTAGATATAAGGAAAAAGTCTTTTACAGTGAGAGTGGTGAAGCACTGGAACAAGTTACCTAGTGTTGTGGTTGATGCCCCATCCCTGGGCACTTTCAAGGTAAGGCTGGATAAGGCCCTGGGCAAACTGATCTAGCTGTGATGTCCCTGTTCTCTGCAGAGAGTTAGACTAGATGGCATTTAAAGGTCCCCTCGAACTCTAAGGATTTGATGATTCTATCTTCCTATTCAATTGCTTTCATATGGTACAGATAGCTGCAAGATAGTTCTAAACTATGACTACAATTACTAGTTTTTCTTTAATGAATATCTGCAATTGAAGAAAAACATGATCAAGTGACTAATGAACTTCAAAGCTTCAAACATCCATTATCTATAGAACTAAAAAGAGTTCAGAGAATGAAGTGGAAAAACTTATTGAACAAAAAAGTCTGTATTCCGGTTCTGCTACTTATCTTAAAACTGTAAAACTCCGTATTTACATCTTGGTATTTTGTGTTCTCTGAGAAACACAAATGCATTTAAAAAAAAAAGTCATGGGAGCTTCCCGTATTTTCATAGAACATGAAATGACAAGATGACTGACAAAGCTTCTCACAAAAACCTAGTATTTTATATTTATTTGCAAGAGAGAAGGCAAAAATATGTGTCTAAGTTAAGACCCTTTCTAACAACATTAAAGCTTACCTTTAAGTCCTACCCCCACACTTCTGCCACTGTATAGAAGCAGTCTATGATTGGAAAGTCTTTAAAACAAAAAGCAACACCTCAATCAGTGGGGCAGTAGGGAAAACTTAAGCTGAGACTAATACTGGAAAATATCCCCCGTGATCGTTCAATGAAATCACTCCAATGCAGACCTGAAAAGCCAATAAAACCTATGAAATCACAAGAAAAATAACTGGCTAAGTTGTCAAACTCAGACTAATGAAATCTTCTCAGAACTAAATAAAACAAACTCACAATGACAATAATAATAATAGAGTCTCATCTAAACATTACCTACTTTAAAGATCTGACTACCTGTTTGGCTCTATTACCTCCCAACCAGCCTTTGCAAATACGAAATATATTGAAACTTCTGTCATCTGTGATTAACAGTCAGTTAATTTAGGAAGTATAAAACAGCATGAAGTAATGCCTTTCAGATGTATTACATGCCAGATCTATCATATACAACAATTGTTACCATCAAATGCTAGAATAAACATATACAAAGAATTAAGTCACAGAATCATAGAATGGATTGGTTGGAAGGGACCTTTAAGATCATCTAGTTCCAACCCCCCTGCTATAGGCAGGAACACCTCCCTCTAGACCAGGTTGCTCAAAGCTCCATCCAGCCTGGCCTTAAATGCCTCCAGGGTGGGAGTATCCACAGCCTCACGGTGTAACCTGTTCTAGTGTCTCACCACCCTCAGAGTAAAGAATTTCTTCCTAATATCTAGTCTAAAACTATATTCTTCCAGTTTAAAACCACTTCCCTTCATCCTGTTGATGCATGCCCTTCTAAAATGTCCCTCCCAGTTTTTCTGTAGGCTCTCTTCAGGTACTGGGAGGTCACTATAAGGTTTCTCCACAGCCTTCTCCAGGCTGTAGAGCCCCAACTCTCTCCGTCTGTCCCTGTAGGGCAGGTGCTCCAGCCCTGTGACCACCTTCGTGGCACTTTTCTGGACCAACTCCGCATGTCCTTCCTGTGCTAGAGGCCCCAAAACTGGATGCAATACTCCAGGTCTCCAAGTTTATGCACATTCATAGCACAGAACTCAAGAATAATTTCAGTTAAAAGTCTTAACCTGAAAACTCACACAACTATCCCAGAATCAACACTACACTCCGATTTTCAAGTCAATAGAACTAATAACTGGCTGTTTCTACCATTAAAAAAAAATGTTCACTGACATCTGTACTCCGTATCAGACAAACTTGCACAGTGTGTGCCACAGATAATGTCCTTTGTGTCGTACAAGCCAAAGAAGACAGAAACAATTGGCATTACAAGCAGTACAAGCTTCAAGAAATTAATTTTATCTTGCAGCTTTTAGAAGCGCGACTCACTTTTGTTCTCTAATTTGATTTGACCATATCCAGAAGACAAAATACATGAGTTTTTCTAACAAGTAAAAGGTTATGACTTTTTATCTGTTGCTCTTGAAAACAATAGAGAAATGGACAGATACTTGATGCATGATGCAGACTGTTAAACCTGCTAATGTAAAAATCAGGTTTTGATTTGAAGGCCCTAAAAATTCGTCAAATTTTGGAGCAGGCCTGTAGATACTGAGAGGATTTGTACAACATAAACACACTTCATACAGAACACTTGAAAATGCAAGCATACTGCAAGAAATGAAATGAAATTACCTGAAGTATCTTGTAATGATCTTGATGTGAAATAGCTTTTTCTTTTTTCTCCTTCAAGAAATTCATTTCTTGAACACTATGTTTTTCCAGTAAATATTCTAATTCCTGTAAAGATTACAAAATATAATAAAAGCAGTAAAAATGTTTGTGAGCTGTGAAAATACAGATTTAGGTCATTGTTCCAACTAGCTTCAGTTCTGAAGACAATAACATTTTGTATCATAACATCAGAAGATACTTAAAGTCAAGTATTTCCATATTTCAAGTGGTTTCTGTCTTTCTACAGTTGAAAACCTTAAGTACTTTTAGAAAATGGTTTACTAAAAGGCACCTCCATCTCCAAAATCACTAGAACCTTAATGTAACCAACTCCCAACATGATCCAAATAAATGGAAGGAAAATGGCACTACTGACTACTAATTTCCAAAATTATTTGCTGTACAAAAAGCTAAAGCTTTTTGTAGCTGTTGCTGCTACCAAATGCTTCTCTATAAGTAAGCTGTGGACACCTTTCAGTTGCTCAAGAACAACTATTTTCTCAACCACTGAAGAAGCCAATTTAGAAACAAATGAGCAGCCAAACCACTGGATAGCTATTAAAAAAAAAAAAAAAGTGCCACTGAGAAAGTCAAAAGGAGGACAAAAGGAGCAGGTAGGCTTAGCTCATTCCTGGATGAAATAAGGACAGCATCTGAGATTCAGAGTCTGATTTCAAGCGTAGAGAAACAGACTTTGCAACACTTCTGTATGTATAGCAGGCATGTCCAACCCACAGCCCACGGGCCACATATAGCCTGGCCCAAACTCGTTCTGTGGCCTGCTCCCTCCTCCCTGACACCATCATGGTGGTGGCTCTTCCCCACTGTGTGGCCCAGCCTAGCCCCAGGTGTACGCCCATCACTCAGTCACAATCACACAATCAGTGTGCAGTGGGCACTTTTGAAGCTCAAATCAGCACAAGGTGGGGTGGAGGAAGACAGTGGAGTGCATAGTGCAGCATTAAGGCAAAGAATTATATGCATTTTGGTAATTGGCTATATGCAGCCCTTTGAACAGTGAACAATATGCAACCTTGATTTCTATTCTGACAAAGGAATTTGTCAAAAGGTTTAAAGATTGCTTAGAAAAATCACCATCTTTTTTCATATATTTACAACTACATTTTCAGTTGACGTAAATGCATTACTTGCAAGTTTTCAAATAGAATATACGGAGTTGCAATCAGACATTCAACTCGAAGAAAAATCTGATAATGTCTCTCTACTAGAATTTAATAAGACCTTTCTGATGAGAGAAAAATATCCCTTGCTTCACAATCACACCTTATTCATGCCATCACTTTTTTTTTTGGCAGTACGTGTATTTATGAACAGCTGTTTTTAAGGGTAAAGGACAAGAGTGAAACTCTTTGATGAACAAACACCTTGAGACCTCACTAAGAAGTGCAAACACTTTCAATGCCAGTGAACAAGGTTTGTTAGTTATATAATGTTGTTAAAGTGGCCCAAGATAATTCCTCATCACTCAATGAGGCCCAGAGATGACAAGAGGTTGGACAACCTTATATAAAATAATACTATATAAAAATTTATATATAACATAAATATTATATAATATTATATACGTATTAATATAATATAATATAAATATTATATATAAATATATATAAAATTATATAACAAATAGTGTTTATTTTTTTGTATGTCTCTCTTATGTGTACTCACGCTATTCTTACTTCCCTTTTGGTATGCTCTTAACTTCCAGGAATATCAATTCACAGTAGATCTTCCCAATCCTGTCTTAATTACTCATTTCCACCTTCATTTTTATTTCCAACAAATCACTCCCTTCTTCCCTAGCACACCTTGGTTCCTATTGATGGATAGTATTAAGTATACAACAAATTTAACTTTCTTGTGGTAAGAGATTTGGTCTGAGTTAATGTCTCGAAAACTAGGCAGGAAAAGAAGATGTTGCAGTCACCTGCAGGATCACCTGTGACAGACTGAGGCGTTGCCCAGCCTCTCCCCTGGAAGGTCCTAGAACAACAGACTGAGTATATGTGAACCATGTAATAAAACGTATAAACACCACTGGATGACCACAACTGTCAGCAGAGACCATAGCTGGATCCACTTTTTCTCCTTTTCACTTTACTTTCACTGTTGTAATTCTGTTGAGTCGTAAGCAAATTTGTGATTTATCTCAAGTAATAGTCATTAGTCCTGGTTACCAGAGAATTAAAAAGGTAATCTCACCCTAGCCCACCAAGAGGATAGGACACTTACTCTCTAGCGTGACCTTTGATTTACTCAGATACACAACAACTGTACAACACTCAGTGTGGAAGCAACAGGAATTTAATTACCACATCTCCCAAGAGAAATTTAAAAAAAAAAAAAAGCATTATATTTGTATAGACAGCCAAAGGCACTTCCAACTTCATAGACCACACACACTCCCACAACATTGTTAAGACTTCGTACCATATGATTTTACACTGTGACATTTTGTCTTTCTAAAAACTGGCTCAATTTGGTTATTTTCTCTTAGAGAGCTTTGTAAATGTAAGATTTATTTATTTGTTTGTTTGTTTGTTTGTTACAAAAAAAAGAAACATACCTTTTTAATTTTTAATTTTTCTTCTTCAGCAGCACAAAGATTGATTTCTAGATTTGCTAGAGTTTGTTGAAGGCAGCTCTTTGATTCATTTGTTCTCTGTGTCTGAGCATCATCCGTAGCAATGGATGATGTGACTAAAGACTTATCTTCTGTTAAATTCAAAGAGGCAACTGGAATATCTACTTGAATCTAATTTAGAAGGAAAACAAAATGGTAAAAGAGATAGCAAAGAGAATTTAATATTCCAGTCAAGTTAAATTTCATTTCCAATTGAAATTACATATCTTAATAAATGTAAACAAAGAGGTTATTTATTTGTAATCATACTTTGTTGACATCATACACATGAGAGGGTGCATGGATAATGTGCTAGCCAAAAAGGAAGCTCCAACAATGGCACAGTAGCTAGAAATTCTACACGCATTCAGATCAATTCTTCACATCTCCATTTCTTTTTCAAGAAATACTTTGTAGAATGCTTTTAAGAAGGAGGCTGACATCAGATACTTCCGTTCTGAATGAGGTCAAAATACTAAAAATATGTGAAAAGGGGACAAGAGTGAAACAAAAATCATTGGTCTCAAAGCATCAGGCTTGCAGAGAAAAACTCTCCATGGATTAGTCACTCCTTGTTTTTCATCCAATGAAGAATACAAACAGTAGCCATAGAAAGTGAAGTGATTAAATAGATTTTAATTAAAATCAGAATACATTTTTTTAGCCAAAATAAAAATACTGAGAGTACACCAACAGAGTAAGAGTAACTGAGACGTCTTCAACAGTTAGCTAATGCTATTTCTGTAAACCGCACAAGTGCAAGAACTGAAACAGAGGCCTCTTGAATGTACTACGTAAGACAGAGAGTACATTAACGATACCATACTTTCAGCAAAGCATAAAAATAAATTAGGCAAAATTTTAAATGTTTCATGGTACAACTAACAGAAGATACACCTTCATTTTTTTTTCCCAATTGAAAAAAAACCACCGAACACCTTACTTGTTTGTATAGCTGCAGAGGAATTTCAAAGGAAAAAGCTAGTACATTAACTTCAGCTACCTTTTGTTTTCTAACAACTTTTTGAAAGCTAACAGCACTTGAGATTTAGTTGGGGTAGCAAAGGAACATCTCAGTATGTTTTTTAGGAGAGGACTGAATGGTATGATGTAGTCCATTCCCCTAACACATTTTATTAAAGCAATCACTAAAGTAATCAACCGACTTTTTCATTACTAGATTCAATGAAAAACAAGCAAAAATAGCAGAGACCTTGACTGTACAAGAATGTGTAAGAATCCAGAATATACAACAGGCAGAAAGAAATCTGCAGTTTGTTCTCTCAATTCACTTTCTGTCAGAAACAAAGAGGATCTAGATTTGGCCTGGAACCCCCAAAATAAGGACAAGGACCTGTTATCCAAAGTCAAGAGAAGGCCAAAACCATGATGAAAGGGCTGGAGCACCTCTCCAATGGAGTCAGGCTGAGAGAACTGAGCTTGTGCAGGCTGGAGAAAAGAAGGATCCAATGAGACAGCCTGGAAGTATTTAATGGGGACCTACAGGAAAGATGGGGAGGGACTCTTTTAACAAGAAGTGTAGTGATAGGACAAGGGGTAATAGTTTCAAACTAGAATGAATTATTTACTCAGAGGGTGGTGGAGCACTGGCACATGACGCCCAGAGAAGCTATGAATATACCTCACCCCTTGGAAGTGTTCAAGGCCGGGATGTATGGGGTTTGGGCAACCTGATCCAGTGGGAAGTGTTCCTGCCCAGGTTGGGTAGGGCTGAAATTAGATGATCTTTAAGGTCCCTTCCAAACCAAATAATTCTGTCACTCTTTGATTCTCTGAATTTAAGAGAAAAAAATAAAATTCATTCTAATTAAGGGGAAAAATAAATATTAATTCTCTAACTGTAATATCACTTAAGAATTAAACAGAAGTATATCTTTACAGATTTAACAGTAATATATATATGCACACACATATATATATATGTACAGAAATTTTTGCAATCAGTTCCTATTTTCATTTCTAGTACTATAAACAGGCCTTTAATATACCTATCAATCTTGCAGTCCATACCAAACCAGTATGAAATCTCCAAATTGGAAGACTTACACACTATTCTCCTATGTCCCAAACTCCTACGGAATCAAAAGTTTACTTGAGAATCTAAATCACAAAAATCAAAGGGCCAGCATTTGCTCTTAAAGCACAAACTAAATTTGTATAGAAAAAATGTAATGCTCAGGTATTTAATACATCAAGTTACCCTGTTGAAATACAGATTGCGATTGCTGTTTTACCTGTTCTTCAAGAACAGCTGAGTTTATCACATTGTTGGCTGTTTGAATAGATGTTGCCACATTATCACTTGATGAAGTGAATGAGTCAGAAGGATCCAGGAAGGATGAAGGCACACAGTGCTCCAGAAGAACATCAGGAGAAACATTCTGAGCTATATGGACTTCAAACTCTAATGCAAGAAATAGAAACAGAAAAACAACAAACAACTTGAAGATGCATTCAAAAATTATGTTTCTGAAATCTAAAATTTCACAATAGCAAAAAGTTTAAGGATTCATAGTCAAATAAGACTATGTAACTTTCACAAACTAATTGTGCTGAAATGTAACTCCATACAAAGTTTGTTTATTTTTAAGTACTACCATGTTAACAACATGCAAATTTATACAGTCACACTAAATTTAGACTTGTAATTTACAAAGAGGTTTCAGGAGGCAACTGCCATCCTTACCTATTGTCTCTTCTCAGAGCATTTTAGTTTTAGCATGATCTCAAATCACTTTAATTCAACTGTAAAAACATATTTGCTAGTTCTTAACTTTCATAAATTTTTACCAAGACACTTGATAAAAGCAAGTATTCATTTTAGAACAGATAAAAAAAATAACAATATAGTTATCTTTTGATAACAAGTTGGTAATTTTACAGCTAGTAAAGCAAAAATGTAATTAAATATTGGTGCGAGTTCTTTCATAGCAATTGCCATTTATGCTGCAAGAAAAGGAAGAGAGGATATTTACCAACCCTGCACTACAGAAACTGGAGTGCTTTTACGACAGATTCAGATACACACTAAGTAAAAAGAAATCCTTGCTTACTTTCTTAATTTAACAACAAAATCCTATGATCTTTCATTTTCACAATTCTGCCCATACACGATGTTTCTGTGATTAAAACTGTTAGCACAAACACAAAAACCTAGTGCAACACTGATTCCCAAGTTGTTACCATCCATACTTTGGTTATGATTACTAGAATACAGCCACTGTTCAAACAAATAATTTATCACAAAAGTAAAAAACATGAGACTGGGACACATAAGACAGTTTTTCAAATTACACAGTGTTTTCTTTTTTTGTGGAACTTTTATAATCAAGTTGAGCTTTCAGTGACTTTAAATAATAAAAGTTTCAAATTTTGAGGAGAAAGAAAAAAAAAACAAAAAATAAATTCAAAATATTCTCAATTCCTCAACTGTCAAAACAAAGCCTGGAAAACAAGGAGCAACAAATGATACCCACTCTGAACACTACGGTTTCAACTAAAACACATGATCCACGTGATCTTGCAGAAGACAAGGAATAAAGGAAAAAGGACAAGGAAAAACCTCTGAGGTATTTTTTTTTTTTCCCTCCCAACAAAGCTTTTGCTTTCAGCAGCGTGGACTCATCATTCTAGGAAAACCTAATTAATATTAGCTATGTCTGTAATTCAAATTCAAGCTCTCAACATTTTTTTTTTTTTTTTTTTTTTTGTATTTAACAGGTGATATGAAATTGAATTAGTATTTTAGTTCAGCTTAAAACATCCTTATGAAGATCACCCTTCAATCCTGAATAATATTATGCTTATGTTTCTTAAATTATTATGCTTATGTTTTGTACTCCTAGATTGTGAGTGTCTTGCTGTGTTTTCTCTCCAAGAGATCCTGAAGTGTTTAACATCCCTCAGAGGGCTGAAGTAAGCTGAAGAAGGCTTCAGTTACAGCAGGCAAAAGCAGCAATGTCAGCTGTTTTGGTCTGCCCATTAATCCAGACTCATAAATTCATGACTGACTGCCTACCCCAAAACAGAGTTCTGTGCCTTCCAGCTACTCTCTTACAGAAAAGGATACTCCCTGCCCCAGCTTTCGATTCTTAAAGGGCCTACCCTTCATCCATTCCAACATTTTAGTCATTCGAGCTATCTCCATTTTGTCTGTGATCCCAATGAGATCACAGTTCTGCACACAGCCTTCTAATTGCTCCAGTTCGATCATCACATACTGTGTTTCAGTGTAGCAGACACTTCAGAGAGGCCCCGTTAGTACTGATTTCTCGAAATAGAAATGAGAGCTCTGCTAATAACTACACGCATTATGTGTGCATACCTGGGGTGATCCCAGTTCAACATCTTTTCTATTTCCATCTACTCAGACCCTTTGCTTGTCACTCTGTTCACCATTTCCTCACATAGTCACTCCTCCCCATCTCCTAGTTTAAAATTTCATGAACTTGTTTTGCTTTTATTTTTTTCAGGTTCACATATTACTGTTAACAAACATGAAAAAGAATTTACGCCATATCGGTTCAGAATACAGCCTGCATTACAGATTAAAACTAAACTTTCACTTACATCATCTGATAATTCACCTGCATACAGGTACAAACAGGGTTTTTCTTTCAGAGTAACAAAATTAAGACTTACAAAAGGAAAACAGATTGGTTCCTAACAGTCTACATGCATTGCTCTGAGAGTAATAAGCCTTATTTGTGTTCATGGAAATTGCAACAGATACAAAGAGCACTGTTTGATGGAACTAACAAACTTTGTAACTGTTTCTCAGCTGTTTCACCAACATTAGATACATGTTTTCGTCAACGATGAACAACAGCCTGTACAAAGAGTCTGTACACTGTGTTTATAAAAATCTACATGGCTGTCCAGAAGGTGGTTTATCTTTCACATTGCTGTCATAACAGCTGAAATGCACCATCCACCTCTGAAACCCACCACTCATCACCTCACTGTGCTAACATCCACTGTTTGGCCTCCATAAACATTCAGCAAACATCAATGAATGCCAGTGGGTGCCATTTTTCTGCATGGAGGAATTCAGTGACACAGCTTTGCTTCATACGCACTACCACATCAAACATCATTTCGTCAGACTGATCCTCTGCTGTCACCTGTTGCATGGCAGAAAAATGTAATGGAATACTGGTGGGAAGGTTAAATATCTACTACCATACCACCAACATCTGCCTCTGACATTGTGAGCCAATATAATAAAATGGGAGGCATTACATTTAGATCAGCCTTCATTCTCAGCCCTTGCAACAAACCCTCCATACTCAAAATTGAGAGTTTTCTTTTAGTAAAGCAGTTCCTTTTTTTGTTTTGTTGTTGTTGTTGTTGTTGCTTTAAATCCATGATTGACTTAAGGGCCAATCAGAATTTTAATTGGATAAACTATACTTATCTTTCTCACTTGTATTCCTCAATAAAGTGCAACTTTGAGAAGTACAACTTCTGAAAATAATTACTCAGAAACATTCTTATGCCAATCTTTCACTCTCATCCACTATTTTATTGCATATATACACTCATGCACTAGCACTTACAATGAACAGAGAACAGTAATACATTATTAACAATTTCAACCCTGGGCTTTCTATTTATTGTTTTTCAAAATCAATACCTGTAGGAAATGCTGCCCATGGAATAGCAGGAGATGTAGTCTGCTTGTCACCATTTCCACACTCATAGCTCTCTGCTGCCTACAAACACAGAAAAAAAAAATTATACGTTTTATAAAATGCTATACATATAAAAAAAGTTTAAACTTATTTACCAAAGTTTTCATATAGTAGACAGGAAAGTAAGTTTCTAAGCAATTTATCTAATTGCACTGAGCATGCATCTTACTGTCAGAAAACTATAGAGTTGAATCAAATATAAATAATCTATGGAGCACGTACAAGGAGAGCGTGTTAGAACTAGAGAACTAAAAACTCTCAGTCAGCAACATAAAAATGTCTGAGCAATGAAGCAATATAAATGTAGTAGTATAATAGAGCAGATACATGGTATGTATAGAAGTATGAGAGACATGTTTATCGTTGAACAAATATGAGCTGTGTTTAACAAACAGAAATTTAGTTTAAGAAGATTGATGATACTTGAGAATACACTGCTTAGGAAGTTAAAGATTAAATAAAATCTATTTGTCATCCCTGACTTCAGTACAACTCCAGAATAAAATATTAGTTTGCATTACTAAAGTATGTAACTATTAATTTGACATTTTCATGAAGTTAACAAAATTAACAGAAGCACAGGTGTAATATATTTCTTGAAAATAATACTGTCAGAACTGTTTTCACATAAACAGTTAGGTTTCAAAATTAAATCAACATACCTCAAATCCCCCAAAATCATCATCATCCATTTTTCAACAAGTACTACAGTATGGTAGAAATCCTGATTTAAAAACAAAACCAAAATCACCAATTATTTACATCCTGTTTACAACGCAATACACTGCAGGAAAATGAATACACTTCATTGGTCAGTTTCATAAGACAAATGTCTCGCAATCAACTAATTTTATGATCAACTAGGAGTCAAAAGAAAGAAACCTGACTCCTATATTGTTATGTATAATAACTCAGTTAATATACTGTACTGTTATGTATAATAACTCAGTTAAATGACAGATGGATAAATACTTGGATATAAATTCCTAGCTTATCTACTGTGCTCTTCCTAACCTTATCACCTTCACATTCAGAAAAGAGGATTCAGTCATTCAATGCTCAACTCCAACTCCACAAGCCATCTGCAATCACCCCAATGTACAAATTACACAAGACATCAAGAGTCCTATAAAAAAGAAATTTAAAAAAATTCACAATGAGGTTACAAGGGCTACAGCTGCAAATTTCCTTTAAGAAGCAAATTTTTATTGATACAAGTAAAAAAAAGTTTGAACTTTTAAAGTTGAAATATGAAAATCTTCAAGAGAAAAGATAAGCGCAATACTGAACTTCTCAAAATAAGACAGTAACAAATGCTTTTTAAGATGGAAAAATGGGAAAAATTAATTTTAAAGTTATGTCTATTGCTCTGAAACATAGCAGTCAATTCTCTACTAACAGCAACACAATCCAGTTTATCTGAATATTAAAAAAAAAAAAAAAACAATTTCAGACCATTAGATTCTGAAATAAATTATTTTCTTAATAATGAACACAACTCAATTTAATGATACAGAAAAATATGCAGTATAATTTACAGCTCTGTGATCAGGAATTAAAATATAAAAAACTGTCTACTCTTAAGTTGCTTTTCCAAATCAGTACTGTAATTAAATCAAATATGTTTCCTGCTTTTCCTATTTATTCTTAGCTGTCAGCACAAACTGCAGTTCAGAAAAATCTTGCAGTGAATTTCTGGAAATCTTTTTGCTACCACAGAGGTCCTTCTCTAGGTTTCATGCAGGGGTTGATTTAGATTTTACAAACTGATCAGCATTTTTGAGTTGTAGCCCTAAATTCTGTGGTATTTTGAAATATTTATAGTTAAGCTGACATTCCTTTTACAAAACTGCAAGATAAGTTGGGTTACTTTCATTAGCAACGTAAGATATACATGGCTGTTCATGGAAGGGTATTATACAGTGAAAAAAAAACTCACCATGATATGCAAATGAAGGATACAAAAAGACTTTTTTTTTAATGTCAAAACACTTGCAAAGTTAATTGACTTCAGTTTATAGGATGGTGAAACTTAATACTACAAAAGCACATCTTCAGAAACAGAAGAATTCAAAAGGTTTGGAGGACATCTCCAGATTTCTGTCAAATTGGATACGTTCAGTTTATATCCTCTGCTGAAAAACACTACCAGGAAAAGCTTAAATAAACATCTTCCGAACTTTAACATATTTATTTCCAAGTTCTTATTGATAAATTTCAATTAAATCACTATTGAAATGTAAGTAGATCTGGTTGAACTAAAAAAGAACATGATCCAATATTTACTTTTGATTTTCAGAACTACACATCTTTTAGGGACTGCAAATGTTTAGTTTGCTTCTGAGGGAGAAGGTGATTGGGTATTTTTCCAGTCAGCGTTAATCTTAATTGGTCCAACATTCATGCATTCTGTTAACATTCAGAACTTTAATATGCTACTGAAAAATATGAAATATGCAAAGATAAATCACAGCAACAAAAGAGAAATTGGAACAGCACTGCAAAATCAAGGCAGCCATGTATAAATGAGAAAGTGAACATACAGTAATAAGTGGCATTCCAAGACAAGTTGGCAACTATAAAATTTAACCTGATCTGATCTTTAATCTGAGGTACGGAAAGGAATCTGAAAATTCTGGATGAATTATTTTTACTATAGAAGGCTGCTATGTTAAATGAGCCCTCCTCTTGATTTAAAAAGAGCTTCATTGTGGAAAAGAATGTAAATTTCTACATACATAAAATCATAAGAACACTCAATAATTGCATTCTGTTTAATTTGAATTAAAATGTACAATAGTAATAGTTTTTTTGGCATTAATGATTATTGAAGTACTTCTAGTTTCATTTAACCCTGCATACAGCCTGATCTACTTTGCAACAGAAATTTTTTTTAATATACTTAACACAGTTGATTCAGCTAACAAAAATGTTTCTGTGAAAAGGTGAAACAGCTTTTTTAACTCTTACTTTTATTGATGTGCTTGGAAAAGTCCAAACTAAGTGCTGTAGAATAAACTCAGTCTAAAAACATGTTCCTGAAATATATCTAATACTTTCAGTGTGTGACATACTTTCAGAAGGATTGTGAGGCCCCGCTTTCACGGTCTGTATTCGTACTGAAAATCAAGATCAAGCGAGCTTTTGCCCTTCTGCTTCAGTGTGGCTTAGTACCTTAACAAGGGCTTATAAAGCTACGTAATAGCAAAGTTCTAAACCTATTCAAAGAAACAGCATTCTTGTAGCAATCAAAGCTAAAAATCTTAAGAAAGGCAAAAGATATTTTATCTACACTATGCATGTCATGGCTTCAGGTGCGATAGGCTATACTAGAAGTTACTTCAAAGTACCACATTCCAAATAGCAGATTTTCTCACCACAGAGCAAGAGATACTCTCTTTTTCTCAGAACCAGTTGTTAAATCTCAACGGGATAAAATACATTCCACATTTAGTACCATGTTTTATAACACTAACTGGAAGAAATTCAGAGAAATTTTGGAAAGGCACACTGAATTAGAGAAGTCGGGCTGAGGGAAGACAAACAAGAATCTATAAAATATGAAAGATAATATTCAAAGAACAACACCGATCAATTAATTTAATTTATCATCACATTCACCACTTCTGTGCAGTAAGAACAGATGTCTCTGTAGGAAAAACATGTATTAAACATTAGCAAGAATTTCCAAAAAGGCAACAACAAACCACAACAAGAACACTTCTAAGAACTTAGAGATACATAAAATAGAATTAAGTCACTTTTCACACACACACTTATTCTTATTGGGTCCACCATCTTTACATTACGTTTTACATATAGTATTCATAATTTTGAGATCATCATCAGACTTGTCTTGACTTAACACTACCTTGCTTCACAAATTTTAGCAGGCATTTCTTGGCTGTTTGGCTAGCACAATTTTGAATCGTGCCTCATATAATCTAAACGGAACACAGGAAAAAAACTCCCAAAGAAATCCAAGAAGTATCAACGGTGTTTTCCACGTCCAACTGCTAATCCACTGATTTCCAAGTCTTCAGAGATTCCATATGAATTGTAGTCTAAATGGTCAATTGGCTAGGAAGGATCCCTTGCTATACAGAAAATGCATTAATACGCTTAAAGGCACCTCTGCTTTTGAAAAAAAGGCTAAGCTTCTGGTCTGTAAAAAAAGAAACACTAGCCTGCCTACATATTTTGTTTAATGAAGACAAAAAAAAAAATGAAAAATCAGAATGTAACTGCAAATTTAGCAGGTATATGAGTAAGCAATGTATAGACCAAGCCCTAATGAACTTGGACAAAAAACATTTCAGAAATTCAGTGGTTGACAAGTTCACTTTTGTTAAAGTCTTAGTATAAGAATTATTATTACAAGACACTGTCTTTCCAAACGCATATTACTTCTTGCATAAAACTTTTCTTTCCTTATAGACTGGGAACAATATTTCACAGAATCATAGAATCATTTGAATTGAAAGAGACCTTTAAATGTCACCTAGTCCAACTCCCCTGCAACTGGAGGGGCATCTACTGCTAGATCAAGTTGCTCTGAGTCCCCTACATACAGTCTAATCTCGAACATCCCCAAGGACGGGCCTTCCATCACCTCTCTGGGCAACCTGTTCCAGAGCTTCATTATCTTTATTGATAAGAACTTCTTGCCCGTTATCATCTCCCTGTCTTCCAAGTGTCTTAGCACGGCTTCCAGAAAGATACGCTCAACGACCTTCCCTGGCACTGTGGTGAGGCTTACAGATTGGTAGTTCCCCGAGTCATTCTTTCTACCCTTCTAAAAAATGAGTGTGACATTGTCTTTTCCCCAGTCACCAGGGACCTCACTTGACTGCCACAACTACCACTGAGAGTGGTCTGGCAACTACCTCAGCCAATTCCCTCAGGACTCTGGGATGCATCTCATCAGAATCCATAGATTTATGGATGTTTAAGTTCCTTAATTGGTTGCAAACTTGATCTTTGCTCTCAGCAGGAGAGACATCACTTCCAGAGTTCCCACCTTTTGAATGATCCACTCAGGGAGTATATGAAGAGCAGCTGCCAGTGAAGACTAAGGCAAAAAAAGGTTTTGTGGCATCAGAATTGAAAAGATTACATTAAGTGCTGACAACCACAGAACAATTAAAAAAAAAGACAATAAACCAAACCAAACAACAAACCTGAAACAACAACACACAGTCTTACCATGACTAAATGTGATCTCTCAAAACATGCCTGTTACTGGAATTAAGTACCTGTAAAATTAGGTAATAAGGAATCAACCTCCAAAATGCAGACTCACAGAAATTATGGTTGGAAAAGACACAGGAGGTAACCCATGCAATTTCCAAAACATTAGTTCTCCAGACAGTCACGTCCTACAAGGGCTTCAGAAATTACTCCCAGAGTCACACTTCTGTGAAAAGAAAGCTTTTCAAGGATTACAGAGATGTAAGCCCCTGCATTTTCATTAAATAGTGGATTTTATTATCAAGTTTGTATGAAGCAAATCATACAATAATTCAGACCAGAAGGGATCTCAGCAGGTCATCTAGTCCAACTGCTTGCAAAAAAGCATGGTCAACAATGATAAGTTTGCTCAGGACATTCTCTACGACTGCTAACAATGCATGATGCAAGTATTCAAATTTGAAGGGTCTGTAACACAAGTGTTACAAGGAGTAGCCGAGAGAACTGGGACTGCAGGAAGCTCAGAGGACACCTTATTGCTCCCTACAGCTAGCTGAAAGGAGGATGCAGCAAGGCAGGAGTTAGCCTCTTTTCCCAGATAACTAGCAATAGAACAAGAGTATTGGCTTTAAGTTGTGCCAGGGGATCTTCAGGTGGGATATTAGGAAATACTACCTCTCACAGTGCTAAGGTATTGTAACAGGCTGCCCGGGAGGGTGGTTTCACTTTCCCTGGAGGGACAGAAAGAAAAGGGTAGATGTGGCACTGAGTGACATGGTTTAGTGGGTATGGTGATAATAGATTGATGGCTGGTCTAGATAACCTTAGTGGTTCTCCAACTTTAATGGTTCTATGATTCTATGAAATACAGACGTGTACATATCTGAAATGCTCACAGGCACACAAAACACAGCCACAGCACTCAATCATCAGCTTAACACTCATCATGAGAACTTGGTGAAATCAAAGTCATGTTTTTATACACAGGAAGATGTGTAGACTTTCACAAAGAATAAGACAGAAAGAAAAAAAAGTAATATGGGAGAAAAAGCCCCCTCCTTCCCAGTCCAACTGTTTGGAGGAGAAGGAATGTTGTAATCCCTCCATAAATCCTGGTATTCTTCAAATCCAGAAATCAAGATTAGTAGAGATTCAAATGTTGAATTTAAAAATTTTTCATTTGTCTAACTCTATAAGAATTCAAATGAATCGAGTCCTGATCTTTAAGTCAAATTTAAATTTGCTTTGATAACAGAAACAACTAATTTTGCCAGGTACATTCTACGAGCCACCATTAACTGGGCCATAATTTTGAGAAAGCAGCTCTCTTAGTTGCATAATTTTGTACACTTCAAAGGAACAACTTAGAAAGCATGCAACTTTTAGTGTTGCTTTTTTTTTTTGGAACTTCCAATTCTGAAATTCGCCTTGCAGCAATGTTGTTTGTCATGAAAAGCTTTTGCAAACTTTAAAATCACCTAACCAGATACAGTAAAAATGAACTGGAAAAAATTCCTACAAAGATAAAATGTACATTCTGCATTAAAATTTTAGTATTTATCACTTGTTTCTGGGAAGTAAAGTATGTATGTGACCAGAGGCAAACTTCAACGAGACCATGAGGAATAACAATTTGGGAAATTTTACTGCATTCCAAATATAGTAAACGCAGTGTTTAAGGAATGAGAATCTTTATCAAAAATTACACTGGACTTCCCTGAGAAATTAACAGTTCAAGACTAAAGCATAACTAATAAATTAGTAATATGATAGGAAATTAGGATGATTATTTCATCTGATATTCTCAAAATGCTTCTACAATTAGGTACTTCAATTTCAGTACTCATTAATCAATCTTGGATAAGCTAGAGTTTTTTTTATGAGCTCTATAGACTGCTGGCTAGAACATTAGGATGATATTTTAAAAAGAAATACAAGTTTTTGTAATTTCAGAGAACAAAGTGTCCAAACAAACCTAGAAATTCAATTAAGTTTTCTACTGTTAAGAATGCAGGGGGTCTTATTGTTCTCAGATAAAACCAGCACATTAAGGAATGTGACAGTAACAGGCAAACATTAATCTGCATCAAATAACATATGCAAAGTATTTGTTAATCTATTCCAAGAGCAAATTTAAGATTCATAACAAACAGCCAATAACAAAAAAACATTATACCTCCTAGGTCTTTTAGTCGGGAGTCAAGCCCTGAACAAAAGGTGCAGAGCCTGTAAGAAACAAGAGTCTACGTTATATGTGTGATGTGATTATTTCATATCTAGCTTCATAACTCATTTTGAAATAACACTACTTTTGAACAACTCAGTGCAGTATGTAATAAAATAGAAGATGCAGAAGTTGCATTTACATCAGTTTCATGTAACAAGAACATCTTGTGTAATCTTGAGGACTTCTATAACTATCTTTCACAATTTTACTTTAAGAAACATTTTCAGAACAATGAAGCACAGCATAGGATTAAACACTAAAATATACACCTTTATAAGCATAATAAGGGTGGACAAAAATCTTAGTAACTATATACAATCATTAACTGAACAAAAACTTTTTTTACTCTTTCCTTGGATATAGTTCTTATTAAAGAAATTAAAATAAAACTTTTATTCATGAATCATATTCGACTCAGTTCTGTGGCATCACTCTGAGTACTCTCTGCACTTCTGGTCCCCACAATACAAAAAAGACTGTTGAAGTTCTTGAAAGCACCCAAAGGAGAGCATCAAAGCTGGTAAGAGGGTTACCAGCATGTATGTCCTTGAGGAGACGCTGAGGATACTTGGGCTGTTCAGTCTGGAGAAGCTGAAAGAAGATCTCATTGCTTGCTGCAGCTTCCCTGACTGGAGAAAGCAGAGGTACCAGGCAACTCCTACTCCTGAGAACTGATGGCCACATGTGTGGGAATAGCACAAAACTGTTCCAGGAGAGACTCAGACCAGGCATTAGGAAAAATGCCTTTACTGTGGAGGCGGTAAACTATTGGAATAGGCTTGCTAGTGAAGTGTTGATGTACCATGCCACTTAGCTTTCAGGAGGCATTTAGATAACGCCCTCATTAATATGCTTTAACTTTTGGTTAGCCATAAAGTGGTCAGGAAACTGGACTTTTCTTTGTAGGTCTTTCTAAAATCAACTGGGAGCAAAAGGAAATTACTAGCGGGGGTAAACAACTTTCCCTAGATGCCCAACTGTATATGTAAAACTAAATACAAAGCTACCCAAAAAGCTACTGTAAATGTGAAACTACCACATATGTGGTGTGCATTTAAGTACAGGAAAGACCAAATATAAATTGAAACTGAAGCATTTTCTCATTTTCTCCTGGATCAATAAGAAGGTGTCAACTCTAGGCCAATGTCTAAAATAATACTCTATTTGTGATTCAGAAATAGTTGCAAAGCTTTACTTCAGAGTATTTCCTGAGTTAGAGATCTACCACACAGATGTACCATTTTTGACTCTGTATTAGACCACAATCCATGAACCACATGGGAACTCCTTGCCCAATCTTAAGTACTCAGGATTATATCATACCACAGTGATACTTCAAATTAAGAGGTTGAATGAAGAGAAGGTCTGTATAGTTTGGCTTCTAAATGCCTTTGTCACCGAGATCTACGTCAGGAAAAAAACAGAAAACAAAACAAAAAAAAAAAACATAACTCACTAACAAGACAAGGACAGACTTAACTCCAGAGGGTTACCTCCTGACAAAAGCAATTTTAGTGACCATATTTACTTAATCACTGAGGATTTTACCTGCCGTGAGTCTTGGTCAGCTATTCCCAACTTTAAGAACTTAGTGCTTTAAAAACAAACAAGCAAAAAAACCCATTTCATTGCAGGTATCTGGATACAAATGAAGACCATTTTAACTCCAGAGAAAGGATCTGTATAGTACTGCCATTCATCTCAACAAATAATGGTAACTTTCTCAGAATACTGAATTCTAACCATTCAAGACGTTATAGAAAGGCCTTCAAAGGTTTCCAGTCTTCACCATGATCAGTTTCTGTGACCAGACCACAAACTTTGGTTTTATCATAAAATAATCAACCACTTGAATAATTTTTAAAACTATTTAATGTCCCCTATAAGCCTTCTGCACCACAAACATCTTTTAACTTCAAAAGACACAGAATTTATAAAATATACACAAACTTCTGTGTTAAGTTCAGTAAAGCTGATACAATGAAAATATGTTGTGTTTTCTGAAAGAAAGGAACGCTAACACCAGCACAAGACATTGTTAGAATTAAAGAGCATTTCTGTTTTTCACAGCCAGGCATATACCTGTAATTAATCAAGTCCAGACCAACGATCTGTAACCTTGCTTCAGATGACTGACAATTTGAATCCTGGAAATATGTCTGTATTCTATAAATAGCTAAGAAAAGCTTGACTTGTCTACCTTTAACTAGGTAGCACAGATCAGTCAGTAATCGCCCTGTAAACACTTGAGCAAAAGTGAGCACACTAGGTTCTAATGACTCACACTCAAACCATACTAGGGACCGTAAAATTTTACAGAGTTCTCTTAGAGATGGACTGGTATCAGACTTACACAGGAACAGGACAAGATGCACAGGAGAAATGCTGGAATAGTGAAAATTCTGACCTACTATTGCAATGGGTAGCCCATAAACAGTGTTGGCTCTTCATTCCTTGACATACTCAGAATTGAACAAGTCTCTGAACAACCTACGCTTTGTCCTCCTTTAAGCAAAGTTTTGGACTAGGAAACCTCTACTTCCATGTATGATCTAAGAATCAATACTTTCAGTTTTATTAAGAACAGTACAGCTAGGAAATGTATTGAATCACAGAAGCAAAGGCTGTAAAAAATAAAAATTAAAATTAAAAGAGATCATTCTCCAGTTAAATTATACTAATAACAACCAATATCTGTTCAAGAGCATTTTAGAATTGGGTTTGTTAATGACAAGTGAACAAACATCCAGAGAAGAATGGAAGGGAAAGTATATCTAGAAGTCTCCACAGACACAGCGGGGGCCACAAACAGCAAAATCCAAGTGAAATATTTTTATCGTGACTTCATAAAACAGTCTTGAGTAAATCTCTTAAAACAAAGATATTTCCTGAGGAAGGATGAGGTGATGCTAGCATGAAAAAATGTTTTACAAGTAAAAGTGCGTAACGAATATTTGTTATCTGGAGGTAATAGAAGACTTGGTTTATTGATTAATTTGCTCAAAATCTTTCAATTTGAACTGTGATTAGTTCAAAACTCTCAAAAAAGTTCATTAACTTGCACAATTCAACTGTGAACAAGGAAGCACATCTACAAATAGCAATTCTTTTTTTTTTAATTATTATTTTTTTAAAGTTCACATTTCATAACAATTTGGCTCGAAAAAAACCTAATTTTAAGATTCAGCAATCTCTATCTATGTTTTACTCTTGGTCTTCACAGACACAGTGCTTTGTTATTTCATGTTTCTCCTAAAAGAAGAGCTGTATTTCAAAACCAGACAGTAAAGAGTTCATGCAATTGGACACTTCGACTGTACGTTTACTTTTTGTAAATTGCTTACTCAGGTGACACAACTTTTTTACTTGGAAGGAAATAAATAACTGGTACTAAAGCATCTACAGTTAAGGATTTTGGAATACAAGGACACACAGGTTCTTCCATAACCTAAGACAAACCTAAGAAATTGAGGCTTTGAAAGTACAATAGAATGGTCATATTTCAAAGGCATTTCTACTTAAGTTATTAAGTTTCAACAACTTAATTGAAATAGTTAAAACAATAGAGGAGCTTAACAACCAGCCTACCTGAATGCCATCATATATTTTTACTATCAGAAAATGTATTTTTACAAGAACTTAAAAAGAAGAGTCTTATGATGAAGTGAGAAGCTTTCCAAGCATAAAAACTCTAAAATATCAACACAAGAGAACTTTGACACTGATTTAAATATCTAAAAATATAGTTTTTCACACAGTCTCAGTAACAGAGCATCACAGAAAAAATTTACTATGCCAGCATCCCAAACTAAAACATAGGCTATGAATATACATACATACTCAAAAGAACATGGGGTAGCTTGAACAAACTAATAATATTAATTCAAAGTGGAGATCTCTTCAAATTAAATAATAAGATAGGAGAATTTGAGATTTTTTTTTGCTTTTTCTTACTTTTTATTTTTAAACTAGTGCTATGGGAAAAAAAAAAATCATCTAAAAATGTGAGCTTCAAAATTAAATAGATCCCCTTGATTTGTATTTAAAAATGAAGCTTTTCATCAAAACATGGAACAGTAAAGATCAAAATAAAGAACACTTTTAAATATAGTAGTTAAACATTACGAAAGAAATAGTGTTTTTCCTTATTTTTCCTATGTTTCAGAAGAAAAGGCTCTGGGGGTACTTCAATTACTTCCAGTAACTGAAGAGAGCCTACAGGAAAGCTGGGTTGGGATTTTTTAGAAGGGCATACAGTGAAAGGAAAGGGGGAAAGGGTTTTAAACCAAAAGAAGGTAGGTTTAGATGAGATATTAGGAAAAAATTCTTTACAGTGAAGGCGGTGAGACACTTGAACTGGTTATCCAGAGAGGCTGCGTATGGCCCCTTCTTAGAAGCATTCAAAGCCAGGCTGTATGGGGCTTTGAGTAATTCGGTCTAGAGGGAGGTGTCCCTGCCTATAGCAGGTGGAGTTGGGACTAGATGATCTTAAAGGTCCCATCTAGCCCAAACCTGATTCTATGAAGACTGAGATGACAGAAATTCAGGTTTTGAAGAGTGAACTATATGCAGTCTCGTATCTTTTAACTTCATTATTTACTGGGCAATTACACTGGTTTAGTCTACCAACTCACCAACGAAGCCAACTTTTGTTTCACTGAAGTCAGCAGGAAAAATTCCGACTACTTGAAGAACTGCAATTCATACTCTACACTTACACTCTATAATATCAAAAACAAATGCATTTCACAACTTGAAACTTCAGACTGTTTCTGTGGGTGTTTTTTTGCAGATTTTAGCAAAAGCATTATTGTAAATAAACAAATTCATATTTGAGAACATGATATTTCTCAAAAAAAAACATAAAAATCAGAGCTATTTCCTTTCTCTCCTTAGAAATTGACATAATTAAACATACCTTCATTTTTTAATGTAAATTGTCATTTATCATCTAGCCTTCTAACCTGGAAACTGTAATCAGATCACAGTGTATTTTACA